ACCTCTGAAAGTGGTACAAAAGACACTTTTCTAAATGTATTTACCGTTTTTTTACACCTCAGGAAGATGTATTTTTCTTTCATTAAAACTTTTTTATCAGAATTTTTTATTGTTTTGTATTTTAATCTATACAGTCATGCAAATACCGTATAGCGGAAAGTTTGACTTCTTATTGACTAAAAAATCAGAAGACATCAGAAATTTCATGCCAATCCAATGGTTTCGTGTAAAACTTGTGTGGTATATTTGTACATTAGATGACTATCCAGTAAAGCCAATAATCAAAAGTGTGATCATTTTAAACCAGTTTTCGCTCGGCTTTTAACGGTGATTAAAGCCCATACCACAGAAAAAAAGCTCGCTTAAGCACTGGAAGGATCGATATTTAACGCTAATGGCATTTTCTGAATTTGCAACCACGAGTTCGTTAGTTTATGCATGCAAATCGTAAAAATACTTGTATCTACATATTTTCAAAGTTTCTTTTTTCAAGGGCCATAACTAAGGCAACACATCACTAGTCTGAAACGAATTCAAAAATAAATTAAACAACTCAAATTAATTAATAATAATTATGCCTCGATACAAAAAAAGATGTAAAATCGACATTTCAAAGCAATTATTCATTTCAAGTCCTTCAACTTTGGCAAAAATTTATTTCTTAATCTGAACGAAATTAAAGGATGCTATGCATTTTCTCAGGATAAAACCATACATAATGTTTCAAGCTTACAGATAGATAAGGAAAATGGAAAATCTAAGGTTTCAAGCAGAAATGTTCCATCTAAAGAGGGAGTCGAAGGATACCAAGGGGGCATTGAAACTCAGAAGTCGAAAATGAACTGACAACGCCATGGCTAAAAAAGAAAAAGACAAACACACAAACAATTAAAGTACAAAAAACATAACATACTCAGCAAAACTGGGGGTGATCTCAGGTGCTCAGGAAGGGTAACATGTATAACCCCGCCACATTCTGTATGTATGTTTTCTGTCCCAAGTCAGGAGCCTGTAATTCAGTGGTTGGTGTTTGTTGCTGTTGTTTTTCGTTAATTTTTTTGTACAATAATGAGGCCGTTAGTTTTTCGTTTGAATTGTTTTACATTTGTGATATCGGGCCTTTTATAGCTGACTATGCGGTATGGGCTTTGTTCATTGTTGAAGACCGTATGGTGACCTATAGCTGTTAATTTCTGTGTCATTTGGTCTCTTGTGGAGAGTTGTCTCATTGGTAATCATACCACATCTTCTTTTTTAAAAGCAGTTCCTGCTACACACGTGGCACTCATCGTGTTGCTCATGCTAGTACAAACCCGGTAACAAGTCTAATTCAGTAGGCCACATTCAGGGAAAAGGGGACGGGATTGTAGTTAAGACATTTGAAACCTATCCTCTATCATCTGTGAAACAGATATTCCATAACGGTCAATCAACTCTTGATGGCGTCCGTAAAACTTACGAGGGGGTGATTTCAACTTCACCACTTGAAACTCTTGGCTTAACAGCTTCTTTGTGAGCAGCAACCCTCTATCAAAGAAATCATGATTCGAAAATTGGTATTATTGTCGGCAAAATAGTCTTGGAGAAAATGGGTCAACAAAATAAGTCAAGTTGACCGATTAGTAAAAGTATCTGAAAAACTTGACTATCACAATATTGAGCAAGGTCAAACAGACGTCTGATGTCCAGTCGTTTGTTTATGTGGTTCATATGTGTTTCTCGTTTCTCGTTTTTTATATAGATTAAACCGTTCGTTTTCCCCTCTGAATGGTTTTACACATGTAATTTTTATGGCCCTTTATAGCTTGCTGTTCGGTGTGAGCCAAGGCTCCGTGTTGAAGACTGTACTTTGACCTATAATGGTTTACTTTTACAAACTGTGACTTGGATGAGAGAGTCGTCTCATTAGCACTCATACCACATCTTCTTGTATCTATTCTAACGCTATCTTTTCGGTTTTTAGGTTTATTCATTACAAATGATGCCGATGATTTTCACGTTTTTGATTGTCTATGAGGTGAAGATTTCTGCTCCGCGTTGAGTGTCGTACGGTGTCATGTAGTCTCTATCATCAAAGACATTTGGTCTCTTGTAGAGAGTTGTTTCATTGGCAATCTTACCATTATTTTAAGTTCCATATTTTTTTTTAATCGACCGTCACTGATGAATCCTTTGTAGGGAAACGCGAGTTTGGAGAATACAGTTATACATCTTTCATGAATGTTTTAATTATTATCCGAGATACAGACCTATAACCACAAATACTTAAAATTGACCAATGAACAATGAAACTGAGGTCAAGGTCAGATTGCCACTTCTTGTCGGATATGTAAATCATACATAAATTAAATCTAGCTTATGTCGAGAACTTATGATTGATCGATGAATGACATAGTAAGGGCAGTGTCAGTTTACATGCAATTAGACATCTATATATTGCAATCATCCAATACAACCAATATTGTCCACCTATTGTATCTAAGATACCACACTCATTAAGACAAACAAATAAACCATAAAAATGTATTAAATTTCAGACATACTATTTGCGAATAGTATGTTCACATTACAATCATTTCAGAAAATATACTTCGTCTACTATGAGATTATAAAAAAAACCCACCAAAATCTCATGAAAAATAAGCATCGACCAATTGCACATGAAAATAAGGTCAATGTTAGATGAACCCCGTTCAATATTCTAGTGAAAATAACAAGTCCTGCATACGCTAATTGTAATTGACCCATTGCTTAAAAATCATCAGAAAAAAAACGAACCATAAAAACAGTACATTGACAAAAAGTTAGTTGAAATCTACCGGTCGGACATGTGCACCCTACAATCAGCCTATACACAAACGAAACAACGAAAATTAAATCAAGGACAATTGAAAATTATGTCATTGAAACATAAAGCTTTAGTATGCAAAATTTGAAGCATTCGGATCTTCTTCACATCTGAAATAAAAGAAATATATACCAAAAGATAATGACGTCGGACATGCATACCTATATTTTGCATTATGTTGCGCTCTTCTCAGGCGAAACTAAATGTATGTCAAAATTATAAATGCTCATAAGAACGATCTTCTAAAACTTTTCCAATGAATCATTTTAAACGTAAGTGAGCGGTAAATTCAGATCATATTGATCATACTAGATGGAGAGTTGTTACATTGGTACTCATACCACATCTTCTTATATCTAGTGAAAGAAACGAATATTTCATGTACAAATCATTTATAAAGTGAGTATGGTCTGTATTTAACTCCAAAAAGGGCATGGTGTTTCGAAGTTCAAAGTGAAACCTGCAAAAATTATACACATTTTTATATCGGACATAAAGCAAAATCAGCGGACAAAAAGCAAAACGGACCAAAAGCAACGGACAAAAAGAAAAAGTGTCGGACAAAAAGCAAAATTATCGGACAACGTATCAACGTGTTTTCTGTATCTTTGAGTACGATTATATCTTCGCTACAATAATGAAATTTTGATATTTCTACAAACATCTTCTCCAATTAATTTACCTTTCTTCAAATTATTCTTATCATCCTACTTATTTGAGGTTTTTATTTGTGGAAACTTTCAATGATATTTGGAAAGGATTCTATAAAATACAGATGTCACATTTACAGGTGTTATACCACCATTGTTTTTCTCCTATTAGTCCTTGTTAAATTTGCACTTTTCAAAACATTGTGCAGAATTTATATTTGTTTCAAATAAAGAAATACTTGGCATGAGTAAAGTTTTATCCTGTCCAGTACTACAGACAAAATTTCACATAACATTTCATTGCATATAAGAAAATAACCATCACTTAAAGTTATCCAATCACATTTTCACCCTTTTTTCCTGTGTACAAGCTTTAGTAACAGTGTGTCCTCAGGTTTCCAAAATATCTATAGAAACACCAATTAGAAAAATTGTGCTTTGAAACACCCAAGATATATGTTGATGAATCAGATATTTTTTACTGCAATGAAATGTAGGATTAATTTCATACAACTGTCAAATTCAAGGGAATATTTTTTTTCGACCCTTTTCCGTATGCAACCGGATGTGACGTACTGTGATTTGGTGGAATTACACCTGCAGCAATGATTTGTTGAGTATATTTACACGTCCCCTCACGAAAAAAATGTTCCCGTGCATTCATTTATCAATTTGATCCCTTCCTTTTATCAAAATATTTGATGAATGCTCATATAATAAAAAACTGCACGATAACAAGTTCGAATTCAAAACTTTAAATCAAAGTAAAACAAAATGCTCTTTGTGACAACAGCATAGTAGGAAAATAAACGACAAAAAAAAAAACAAATAAAAGTCCAGAGAAAAACTAAAGATGTATTACCACAAACCCAACCGAAAACATATATACCGTATAGCTACGTTAAACCAATAAAAATCAAGGATGTCAATAAATGTTATTATCAACGGTCAAAGTGTGAACTTAGTATCACAGTTTTCAATGAAAGTAGTCCCGGTTTGAGTTATCCCTAACCTTAACCCTTAATTATATGTATTAATACGTCTTTGATATTCCGTGCGAATTTTGAATTTATCAACCTACCAAATGGTGAAAAACTGTTATTCCCTTTGAAAGTAGTTTGGTGTATTTGATACGTTGTGGATAGGATAAAACTTGAATACTATCTAGAGCATGCGATGTTGTATCGTAAGATTGGCAACGACGCAGTATGGGGAATTATGATTATTGTGGCTGGAATTTCTAAGAAGCAACACAAAAACAAAATGTCAGTTTTTAACAACCTCTGAATTTTACGTTGCTGATGAACAAGGTCGAGTATAAACAACTAATAGTTGCACTGATTTCCCCGAAAGCTGGTTAAAAGCGACACAAAATGTCACCTTGCCTTTCCACACTAACTGATAATTATATTGAAACATGATATCAAAATGCAGGGAGTGACATGCAATGCATTACTTATATATACGAAGTAAATTTACAACAACAAAGCGCTTACATCTCACCGTTAGAAATGTATTTCGAGGTTATCTTTCTTGTATCACTTGGAAGTATTTATTCAGAGAAGTGTAATAATCCATTGATTATACGTAAGAAACAGCTTACATATTCATTTTTACACTGGTTTATTATTTTAACTGCATACATGTATGTTCTATATATTTTCTGTAATATGCAAAGTAAGATTTTAATTTGATCACTTACCTCTTGTTTTTCCTTTATAGTACTAAGTAATATTTCTTAATTTAGCATGCAAGAAATTCTAACACTTATTCAAAGTACAAACTGAAAATTGTGCAATTTGAGTATATTGTGTTCCTATCATGCGTGTAACAAATCAAATGAACGTTGTTGTGTTGTTCTGTTCTAGAGCAAACAAAAACAGAAGTCGATTTTTTATCGAACAGGCTGACAGCACTTCAAGCAAAACTTTCTTCATGTAAAGGTGAGTATAATTTTAACGTTCAAAAATGGCAGATCTAAACGTATATATTGATATTTAAAAAATGTATTGAATGTAAGCAACTCGTAGAGATATGGCCTTTTTTAAAATTAATCAATCAAACAATCAATCAATCAATCAATCAATACAAGCAAAAAAGTTTAGTACTTATGGACTAGACCTAAATGTTTTGCCCTGATAAAAGCGAGACAATCGTACGTCAAAATTGTCAAATCAGCGAATTTTATATTTATCAGGTATGGTAATACAGTTATTATGCCAAGTTGTCTGAAATTAAAGGCAAGTAAAAAACGAAAAAGCATTAAAACGCAAACAAATAATTGTTGATTCAAAATTTGTATAATAAATATATAAAAGTAGTTTGTATTTTTTCATTAAAAGTTTTCAAAAATTTGAGTTACGTTCTTCTTTTACCAGTCTTCAAAGCTAAATGGTAATAACTTTTCTTCATGTAAAGGTGAGTATAATTTTAACGTTCAAAAATGGCAGATCTAAACGTATATATTGATATTTAAAAAATGTATTGAATGTAAGCAACTCGTAGAGATATGGCCTTTTTTAAAATTAATCAATCAAACAATCAATCAATCAATCAAACAATCAATCAATCAATCAATCAATGTAAACTTGAAAAAAAAGCCTTTGAACATTTAAGATCAACAACTGTATGCTAAAATAACTAACAATATGCATTTTCTAATGTAAAGCAGATATATCGACATGAACGTACACTGTCAAAAAATATAACAAACATTATCATTATTTGATTCAGAAACCGGAGGAAAATCGTATTATTATCATTCCTTATTACACTGGTCACTCTTTGCATAGTTATATCCTGTTGCACTATAACTAGAACAATGCTCGCAGATTTTTTGTTGTTTTTGTTTCGTAATCCCCAACCGTTGTTTTGTTTATCTTAGAAAGAAGTTGAAATTTCTTATAAACACAAAGAAAACCCCAAAATCAATGATGACGTTTAAAGTGATTTCATATTACCTATAAAGGCTTCTGTAAAGAAGCAGGACGGGAGACGATTTATACACGTGTTATTTGTAAAATGTGTGTTTGACTGATTGCTGTGTAAAATTTTTACAGACAGGGACAATTTTATTCTTTACCATTATATGTGTGCATATGCTTTTTAATATGCATATCTGTACACCATGCAATGGATAATCATTTCTATTTTCAGGGGAACCTCCAATTTCTTCATATACTGCCTTTACAGCTACATTATCTACAAATGGTGTAACACTGTCAAAAGGAAAAATTGTCAAATACAGCCGGGTTCTTGCTAACATTGGAAATTGTTACGATTCCGCTACAGGTGTTTTTACTATTAAAACGCCAGGTGTTTACTCTATCTCTGCTTCTATGATGACTCCTCCGAACAAGGGATCTCATCTTTCCTTAATGAAAAATGGACAGATTTTGGTATGGCTATACACAGGAGGTCCATATGACATGGCATCGCAGACAGTAAACGTGGCACTGTCAGGAGGAGATAAGCTTTGGATTCAAATGCAATCCGGGACACGTCTATATGGAAATGAATTTTATAATCTGTTTACTGCAGCTTTGATAAAGCCCGGGAACTTTTGAAAAAAACGGAAGGAGTGACTCAAATATAATTTGATGAATATTAAAGAAATATTAACTATATTTGTTGTGTTGATAACTTCTATGTTAACGATTAAAAACTTAACACACGCATTGATGTGTTGGTTTCGTGCTCTTTGATTGATTGGTTGTTGGTTACATAACGTCCAGTGGTAAATATTTCATGCATGTTCAGGACGATAGTGTTTTATGTACCTTATACTTGAATAATAATTTTTTTTGCTGCGTGTTGGTTTCTACCACACTGCCTATAGGTATAAGGGGAGGGTTGAGACCTCACAATACATGTTTAACCCCGCCGCATTTTTGCGTATGTCGCACGTCGGGAACCTCTGGCCTTTGTTAGTCTTGTATTTCTTTTTTAATTGTGGTTCATTTATATGTTTCGCAGTTTAGTGTGACGTCCATTTTTGCTGAACTAGTTTACATTATTGCTTAGGAGACAGCTGAAGACTGACTCCGGGTGAGGGATTTTCTCGTTGTGTAAAAGACCTATTGCTGGCCCTGAGCTGTTTTCTGCTCTTTGATCGGAATGCTGTCTCTTTCCATTCTCAATTCTATTTATTACTAGATGTTTTGTTTTGATTCATTATAAGACTACATGTTGATCAGCTTAAGTATACATCTTAAATGACGGACATGCGTAAAAAAAACATCAACGAGACAACTAAACAACTAAAATAGAATATGCATTTTGAACATGGTATTTTTCTATTAGTTGATTAGTAATTGGTTATAATCCAGCGGCAACTATTACATGAGTATTAACAACATGATTATTTTGTATGAAAATTCCATGCTAGAACTAAACCATCATGTTGTTTGATTTTAAGACATGTTCACAAGGTAACATTTTGCAGGTAAAGCCAGTCAACTAAACTTTCTATTGACTCCCAAGAACTTGTCGGCAAGGAAAGCAGCGGACGCTTTTCGACGAATGTGGTCTCGCTCCGTTGGAGGTCATGCGATTCCCATGTTTTTCTCTGTAAAATGATACAATTCTTAAGTATAAGGAATACCGGTAGTTTTATGAAAACTTAAACGTATAATCTGAAGTACTATCAGATTTGCACTGCATTGTAAAGATTTTGTTTTGCATTGCTTAACATCAGGAATACCTTGATTTTATGTTGAAGAGAACAAGAAACTTGCAATTACAATAGATTATGTTTCAGGGAAGGGAACAGCGCTGCAAATCTAAAGTTTTGTGTTGCAAAGTTGTGTACAGAAAACTGACATTTGCGTCATTTAGGTTTCAATAGAAATACTTATTTTCTGATTAGCAATATACATATACCTGCAAAACTTTTTATATAAAAATATCACAATTTTTTCTTTTCAAGAGCTTGTGTTTGCTCCTTTTAAAGAAAAATACAGTCACTCACGCATTTACTGTTCAGTCAAAGTTATAACTAATATCATCAACCCCTGGTATTTTCTCTCAAATTTTAAATTAAGATTTCGGTTTCCATTACAAATCATTAGCCGATTGTTATCAAATGAGTATCATATTTTTCAATCCAAGACACAGCATTTAGAAGTAAGAGAAATTGTGTTCGGTTAGGTTGATATGTCGCCATGAGAGCTACCACGTTAAAAATCAATACTTCGATGAGTAAAACGGACTTTAAAGTACCATTGATATTGATATTTTTGTTTACAAAAAGAAAATTTCCTTTTCTGAACAGCACATTTATATCCCATTTATCATTTTTATATTAGTATCTTTTAATAAATTTATAAATATTTTCTATTCGACAATGTGAACACAGAATAAAAAATAGAGTAACTTCCTTGAAATATTCGAATTTGTCTGTTAGAAAATGGACGGACATATTGTGGTTTTATTACTTGCAAAATTCAATATTGTGCATCACGATCAGTAAAGAAAACTGGATATATTGGCCACTGTCCCAGGGATTCTGTAATTTTTGGCCAGTTATCTTTCCAATTGACTCGTTACAAATTGCTAGATAATTAAAGTATATACTAGTAGGTGTTAGACAGGGCATGCTTACGATTTTAGAGCAGCTGATAATATTTCTTCTTTTTATATCCACTTCTTCGCTCAAAGGCAATACATGAACATTGTCGGAAAATAGAGAATTTATTTGTACAAGCTTTAGCAACAAAACGGAAAGTAAGGCTCAACGAGCTTTTATCTTGTTTCGTAGCGAGTATAAATGCATGTAGAAATTGACGCGGTTAAACGCAAACCGCGGAGAGGACCAAAATTGAACTGTTACGTATAAAAGACTTTATTTGTACATGTAAAAATAAAGATAAACAATATTAGTATATCAGTTACGTGAACAATAGTTGCAGGATAGTGTGTTTTATGTTTCAATTCACGTTGAATTATGGTTAAATAAGTGTTGTGTTTGTTTGTAAGAGTCGTCATTCGACACCCCACAGTGTAAATACATGTAATGTAATACGACAAAATTAAAAATAGAATAACATGGTAGAACGAATATTAGTACGGAATAGATTCTGTATTTACGGAATTACACAAATACTCTGCCGAAATTTAATATTCATATTTCGCTAAAAGAGCACACCAGAAAAAACTCACTATGGTATTAAAAATATCATCTTTAATTGAGTATACTTTTCCTTTGGACAAGAAATGAATTTAAAGCTGACAACAATAACAGAATACAATATATGAAAAATTGAGAATCTTATTTCCTGATTCTACTTTTGAACATTTCCCAATCGTGAATTAAAGCACTGGATGATTCAACCCGATTTGTAGAGTATAACAGCCTTATTTTATCTGGTTTGTAGTCTGGTGAGAATCTACCCTCCATCTGTACTTTTACGCCTAAGGTGGCTGCAACTATTCCTATATATACATCGTATATAAATATAGGTTTTATGAATGGGAGTGCTTCTTTCATTTGTGATGCTACATCCATTGAAATCATCATAGAACCGCCGCCTACATATTTAGGACAAAATTTGCATGAATAGTCTTCGTACAGAATATACCATTTTAAA